TGTTGTCATGAAGGGTGTAAGTCAGTTAATCCAGAGGGATTGTTCTCCATGCCACCTTAAACCAGTCATCCAGTGCAGGGACGTCCTTAAAGATCCAAAATTTGAAAACAGTCCTCCCTGTTATATGCAAGAGCATTCCAATCAGTTTAGCGTTATGGCTGTTCCTCGCATCGTCCACTTTGTCTGCTAGAATACAGTGAAGAGGTGATGGCTCCAAATCATACCCTATCAGAGTAACCACTTCATTTTTCACCTCTCCCCAAAATTTCTGTATCTTTACTAATTTCCACAACATATGTGCGTGAGCTCAGACCAATCCTGCCCCTCAATAGTGGTGTACAATGAAGCCTGTGTAGAATTTTAAATTCTCTATCAGTATTCCATCTCAAAATAGTATGTGTATTTTCTGTGACTGATGCCCAAACATTTTCTTCTATTTGGCATTCCATGTCAGTCTGCCACAGCTTTCAAATGTGCTCTGTAATGTAATAAACCTGTCTTATTTTTCTTGTTTTTACTGTCTTATGTCATGATAAGAGTGATAACACACATAATACAAGCTACTGTGCACAGATACAAATACAGGTATGCCTTGAGATTTTGGCTTGCCCATTGGGCACTAAAAGTTTGAGGAGCACTGCTGTAGGGAATCCCCAGTGCTGGAAGTGACTACTTTGACTCCGGAAACACACGTCATCTGTATTCCACCACGGGTGAAAAATCCTCAAACAGATGCTGTTCCTGGTGATGGTAACCTCACACAGACGACCCTCTGTCTTGTTGGTTCCGTCCACAGTTGTGCAGGACTGCTATGGCATCTGTCCATCTTAATCCTACCGTTTTTCACAGTGAGGTTCAGAATGTTTTGGCCACATCTGGAAAAAGTCTTTGCCGTTAGCACCTTGTGTGCGCTCTGGCAGGTTGACAATCTTGATAGTGTTGTGTCTGGACCTGTTCTTAGATTTAGACTTAGATTTACTTTATTCATCCCAGAGGGAAATTCGTTTCCACTAATTGTACATTTATAGAGATCGATCACAAATATCACAGGGACAGACATATCACAGGCATCACAAAACACCACATGTTCATTCACAGAGGTGGACACTTTGAGTTAACGGGATCTTTTGTTCAGCACAGCTACAGTATGGCTGCTGGGATCAGGCTCTTCCCGAGTTGAGCTTTCCTGAGTTCTCCTGGTCCTCCAGCCTGTTTTTGGACAGGTAGCCTTTCATGCTTAATGCTCGTCTTTGCAAAGACCACACTCAGCTCCTTTCACACAATCTCCTTCACATTCATTCCCCCAATCCCAAATGGATCCCTTACAGACTCGTTGACTCAAGCCCTAAGTCCTTACAGACCTATGACCAATTCCATTTCTTCCCCTTAGCCTTTGTCTTGGCCCTTCCCCTTGGTTTTGCGCATTCAAGTGAGGGGAAGTGGTGTCGCAAAACCAACGGGAAGGGCCAAGACAAGGGCTAAGGGGAAGAAATGGCATTGGTCCTAGGTCTGTAAGGGCTTAGGGCTTGAGTCAACAAGTCTGTAAGGGATCCATTTGGGATTGGGGGATTCTCTGTCTCAGGTCTCAGAATCCCCTCTACACACAAACAAACAGCTCTTATACTGAAATGGTTTGGTGACAAAATGCATTACTGGATATGATAAATGATCTAAAAACACTTTATCTGGCAAGTACTCCAAATCAAAGTGCAGCATAATGGACTTTTCCTGAGTCTCGCTATCAAATTTCTTCATCCTGAAACTGTCATTAAATTTCCAAGCCTCCACTCTGTGTGAGACCCCGTCAACAACACCTTGGATTGGGGCTCTCTTGTTGAGCTGGAAACATGCCATTGGATACATATGCATCCCACCCTCCAAAACTTCGACTTTCAGTGCCTTTTCCATCTTTCTTTGACATGCACTCTATGACCATCAAACCAGACCATTTGACATCGACCAGCTTGACTTTTACCACTTCCTTCTAGATCCAATTTGCTCGTGTGTTTCTCTGACAGTGTTCCATTTCCTGCCCCTTCGATCAAACCCCTAATCTTCATTCCAAACATGTATGTCTTTCTCTCTCCTCCTCCACTCTCATTGTGACCCGATGCACCATTGTCATTTTCTTTTTTTCTGATGTTCTGTCGCTTCTACATTCAAACTCCTCAGCATCTCCCTCCATTTCCGCCATCCAAGTCTATTTCCTTGCCTTCCGCCATTTTGTCCTTGATCCCTGATTCCAGCTGAACTATCCGAGATTTGTGTTGTAAAACCTGTCTGTTGTCAGGTGTTTTTGCCTAGAGTTCACGCAACAACATTACTCTGTAAGGTGCGTGATTGAACCCAAATGCAGCAAGTCAGTGATAGTTGGTAATGACCTTTATTTATACACAGAGGAACAGGAACTTGAGCTGACGAAGATATTTTGGTTCATTCTTCAGGCTCAGAGCCCACACACAGTCTCTGGGTTCAGGGGCCAGGGAATTGACCGGGCCGACCTCGGAAGTGGGACAGAGAATGAGGACGTGAGCCCGCAGATCCAAACAGTTCAGTCTGACAGCAGGCAGAGGTAACAAAAGAGGGGCTTGCTGATGGCGTGAGAAGGGTAGGGGTCTGGAACCAGAATAGCAGTCCAGCAAAGCAGCAGAGCCGATGAAGGATGAGCAGCAAAGAAGTAGAGGCCAGGCGATGGATTGAGGAGTGGGCAGGTAGGTGAAAGGAGGACACACACACAAGGCAGTGTGTGGCGTCTCACAGATTGGCAACTGACAAGCAGGTGCAGGATCTGTAACAGGAGATCAGGCAGGTAAGAAGTGTTGGAATGTCTTGCATGAGGGTGAAAAACAATCTGGCAAAGAGTGTGTGTGCTAGAGAGGCTTAAATACCTGGCTGACTGGCAGATGAGCTGCAGCTGTGGAGGCAGGTGAGTGGAATGGGGTGATCAGGTGGGAGTTGCTGGCTGGTAGAGTGAAAAAACACAGGGAGGGCAGGGGAGTAGAATGCAGGCTGTGACATATTCCTTTGGTCATGCTATTTCACCAGTATTAATCTATCTCTGAGTTGTTCAAAATAGTAGGTGTATTTAGTCTGGGAGCTCGGATCTGATGCTCCTACTCTCTTCGCATCACGTGACTTCTCCAGACTCTGTGTTTTTTTTAATGGTATCCTAATGAGCGTAAAACTTTTCAACGAAGGTTAAAGGATTAAAATAACCAGTGGATGCTCTCCTTGTTTCCTCTCCTTGTCTTCTGTCCTCATTTCCTTTCCCCTCCTCTTTTCTCCTTCCCTGCGTTCCAAATCGCATACTTCTACTATATACTTTTAGTATGTACTGCAGCTGCCCTTAAAAAGTATGTAGTGTATTATGTAGTATGCATGCAGTATGCATACTATTGGGACACACTACTTCCGCCATCACATCGCTCCCTGAACTCCGACCCTCTTGCTCACTTCCGCTGCCGTCCGTAGCGCCACATTTGAATATTTTATGTTGTTGTACTTCGGAGATGCAGCAAATCTCCTCTCGTCAAGCTCGCCAGAGCTGTGCATACCGTTGGAGGTGCCAGAGAGCTCTGTTGCTGTTATGTCGTCATGTATGTTGTTGTTTCTAATAAACAGTCCCAAGCCTATTATTAGTGACCTGTCTATTGAACTAGTCACCAGTAGGCATATTAACCCCCTTCACACACAGCTCTCTGTTGCTGGCAGATGTTTGTTGTTAAATATATTTACAGCTATGCAGCTGCTGGCACTATATTCTGTCTGCACGTGAGGCAGCCTTACATTCACATTACTTTTATTTGTAGTGTAACATACCTGCACATTCTTACTACATTACTTAATATGTGTTTGACTTTTACTATTCATATATTTACTAGTCTATACTGCTCATACCTGGCCCATAGTGTATTCATATTTAGTCATATTCATTCATTATTTATACCACACTTACACCACTGCCTGTACTGGTAGAATCTTCTATATTGTAGTCATAGTTGAACCCTAACATTGATTATACTATAATCACAGTAAAGTTGAATGTTGTAACCGTGTTCTTGCAAAACTGTATGATATGTGACAGTATATAATCAGATCATTGCAGTCCTAATATGTATTGTCTTAGTATCTCAGATTAAATAAACCATGTATGAAAGGAAGTGTGGGCGTTGGTTGTACACGCAGCTCAGTGTGACGTAACTTCTGCTGCGCAAAGGATTGTGGGTCAGAATGGCCAAAGAAGCATGCTGACATGCATACTGCGAAATGTGACCGGATGTAGTAGAACATCCTGGTACTTTTGGCATACTGCATCTGACATACTATGTATTGGGACACACTAATTCTTTTTCTTGCATACTAAATAGTATGGTAGTATGGGTATTGGAACGCAGGGAATGTCTCCTCTTCTCTCATCCCCATGTTCCTCTCCTCCTTTCTTCTCCTCTCCTCGTCTCGTCTCCTCTCGTCCCCTACTCTCCTCACCTTGTTTCTTTTCCTCGTTTCCTTTCATCTTCCATTCTCCTCTCCTTGTCTTGTTTTCTCTCCTCCTTTCTCCATTCTTCCTGTGTTCCTCTCCTCCTTTCCTCTTCTTTCCTTGTTTTCTCTCTTTGCTTCTTCTCTCCTCCTTGTCTCCTCTTCTCTTCCCTCCTTGTTTTATTTCCTTTTTTTGTTTCCCTTTCGTCTTTTACACTTCTTTACACTCTCCACTTCTCTCCTATCCCCTTAGTTCTCTCTTCCTCTCTTCTTCTCTCCTTGTTTCCTCTCTTCCCCTCGTTTGTCTCCTCTTGTTATCAGCTAGGTTTCTTTACAGACTATAATGATATTTATGTATATATTTACTCAGGATCACATACAGTTTTTCTTTCACTGCAGGAAAATAAACAGTTGTACTTTGTATTTAACAACAAAGTGAGAGAGTTTAAGTTTTACTGTATTTAGAAAAAAAACATCTTTCCTTTCAAAATAAAATCCCCTCCATTAAATGAAACACAGCATTGTCACGTTGGTGTAAATGTTTACTTCTATACATTCATTGAAAGGAAATACATTACATGACAGTCGAGTGGAGATCAGATCACTGCTCAGTGTAGCCCTGATGATGAGTCAAACACACTGCAAAAACTCTTGACAAACTTGGCCTTTTTATTTTACAAATAATCCACATTATATCAAGATATTTTTAAAGTGAAATTATCGACCTGCAAACATGACGTTCAACGAGTTGTTGTTGCTCTGAGATTTTCTAGTTTAAAATAAGTTACCCTGCAGAAATGAAAGATAATTAGACTTTAAATATCTCACGATAAGTTCAGCCAAGTGTGTCACTTTTTTGCAGCATAATAATACTTATAACAATAATATACAATCTTCATAATAATAAGTTAGATTCAATAAAAACAATCTTTCCCTTCACTGCAGTCGAGGTTAAAGGTGATAATTTGGCATCCTGTGGTTTCTTCACTTCACTCAAAAAGAAATATTTCACTCTGGTAGAACTGAAGTTTTCATGCATGTGATCCAGTTAGAGTATCTGCAGATTTGTGGTGACATGTACAGTACTTTTATTTTGTAATGCTTGTGCAAAGTTGCCTTGGTTTTTGTTGTTGAAAGAAAGAAGGTGAAATTTTTCTCCCAAAGTGAAGTTTCTTTTTTGTGTTGTCCTTCCTTCCTCTGATAACTGATGTGGAAATGTTTCCTCCTCCACTGAATTTATTTCCCTTTCAGGTTTCAGGACATTAAAAGTCAGTTAAATTCAAAGTATTCTGAGGGAAAAAATCCAGCAAGTATAAAGATGTTGGAGTAGTGATGGAGCCGCCATGTCAGAACCATCCAGAAACTAATTTTAGATTCTAGATTCACAGTTCAGAAAACACTGAAGATAAACCCTCTTTTTAAAACATTTAAGGCTGAATTTCACCAACAAGGATTCTCTTTAAGCCTGGATTAAACATGATTAATGTTATCATTCCAAATCTAAACCTAAATTAATCAAGATTAATGTGGAAGTTTTCCATCTGATGAATTTAAACCCAATATTCACCTGGTTTGAATCATTAAACTGAGTTTGTTCTACTAATACACCTTTATTTAGGGCTGCAACTTTAAATTAATTTCTAAAAATCATTTTGGTTTGACCAATTCATTCTTTAGTCTATGAAATGTGTTTGAGGTTTGAGGGTCTAAACTTAAGTCTTCAAATGTCAACCAACAGTGTAAAACTCAAACACATTCAGTTTTTCTATGATGTAAAACAGAGAAAAACAGGTAATTCTTACATTTGGAGAAACTGTTTTCTTTTGGTAAACGACTTACAGCAATTAATTATACATCAGATTTGTTTGTGCATAATTTTCTGTCAATCAACTTCCAGAGATTTTCAAACTGAGAGGTAAGCAGGAGGAGGAGGAGTGTCAAAAATCACACTCCTCACACTCATAATTCATTCAAATTTTAACTCACAGACATGAAAGGTGTATTTTTAGATTCAATGTGACATTAATGAATCTACTGAAAAATCATAGAAAAAAGAAGGGTCTTATAAATGCAGAACTTGCTTGGGAATCATCACGTTTTTAGGTTTTTCTTAGTATCACAGTAATCCAGTGATAGTTGTCTGTACAGCCATGGGTACGCTGCAAACAGGAGCTGCTAATAGATAATTCAGCATAATTGTAATGAAGACAAATTGCCAAAATGTAAAAAGCCCTCAAGGTGTAGCTCCAAGGCAACATTATTTTCCATTTTACTTCCCCTGAAGCATTATGGGAGCTGTAGTTTCAAAACTTAGAGCATGATAACACCCAAAATAGAAGTCAAACAAATAAATGTGCAATAAGGTCTATTTCATACAAAATCTGTAAAAATGTATCAACATATTTCACTAAATATAAAAAGAAAAAGTGACTGGGGTTCAGTGGAGAGATGCTTGTTTCTAAAACTGAACAGCTGTGCAATTGCGTTCATATATTTCACAAAAAAAAAATTTAAAAAAGGAGGTAGAGTTTGGTGAAAAGATTCTTGTTTGAGAAATTTTCTTGCTGAAAAATAACATATTTAAAACTTGTGAAAAAAAACAACTGTAAAAACATATTTCACCAAAATTAAACAAAAAAGTGAGTGGAGTTTGGTGGAAAGATGCTCGTTTCTGAAACTATATGGATTAATATTTAAACCAGCGGGTTAATCATGTTGAACCAGAATTTAAAAAAACTTTGATTGACTGAATCCTTGTTGGTGCAACCTGCTTTAAATGCTTCTTAATTATTGAAATGACTTTATGTTTCATTGTTGTTTTTGTCAGTCTGTTCTCTGAGGTTTAAATAAAGTTTCAACACATCCTTTTATGACTTGGCTCACAGAAAAAGATCAGTTGTGTTTGTCATACATTCCTGTTTGTTTCTGATAGAATTAACAAAATGTGAAGCAGACGAACAAACACTCATCAGAGTGTGTTATGTATCGTCGTGGACATCAGGACAGATGCTGCTGCTGGCTGGAGAGAGGCTCAGCTGGGAGGCATTAGACGGCTCAGAGACAGGACAGACTGTTTGCGTGTGTGGGTGGGTGTGTGTGTGTGTCCTGTACAAGACGTGCAGTCACTGTCAGAGTTCAGGTCAACAGGACTAAAGGACGCAAGTTCAGATCCACCAGCTTAATACACAGCTGGTGCGTGTGTCAAAGTGGATGTTGTGGTTTGTTGTCATCTGTACATGTGTGTGTGCTGATAGATCTGCGTGTGTGACGGCTCTAGGGTGTGTGTGTGTGTGTGTGTGTGTGTGTGTGTTCAGTCCAGGGCAAGTAGTGGTGTGCTAGTCTCTCTGTCCGTTTGTCGGAGAGTTCCTGGTTCCACTGCTGACTGAGACCTGAAACAAACACACACATGTGATAACCAGTAGTGGAAGAAGTATTCAGATCCTTTACTGCAGTAAAAGTACTAATACAACACACATACAACAGTGAAAGTCTTTAAGCAGCAAAAGAAAAAAAGTAAGAGTGCAACCAGCTGAAACTTCTTCCGGTTAGAATTCCTTCAGTGTTCATTGTTCAGGAGGTTTTTAGTGGGAGCTGAATTATCCACAGAGGTCTCTTATTCTCCAAAACAAATGGAGATGGTGATTTAAACTGGTAAAACTAGAATTACTGCCTCATGTATATACCCCCCTGCAAGCCCTTCAAGTTGCAGTTACAGTTTACATCAATGTCTGTGAAAACATGGATGCCTCACACACATCTGTGGCAGCACAGACTATCTATACAATCAGCGCAGTTTCAAGATTAGTGTCACCAATTCAGTATCTGATCAAATGTCTCCTCTTCTGTTAACGAGATATGATGTTTAGTAATGGCCAGAAAAGTGTTTTATGCAGAACATTATTATGTCACAGTGAAGCTGACCTTTGACCTTTTGGATATAAAATATCATTACTTCATTAATTCGTCCTATCAGACATTTGCATGAAATTTTGTCTTAATTTATGAATTCTTAAATTATGGCCAAAAACATGTTTTGTGAGGTCACACTGACCTTTGACCACCGAAATCTAGTTAGTTTATTGTTGAGTCCAAGTGGACGTTTGTGCCAAATTTGAAGAAATTCTGTCAAGTGGTTCTCGAGATTTTGCATTCACGGGGGAATGGGACAGACAACCTGAAAGATATTGCCTGCAGCCAAGGCAATCGCCAACACGGAGGCATAAAAACTGAAGTTTCACATAAGAAAACATCAGTAGTTTCTTTTTTTAAAGTCCTCCTTGCAAAGGGGCTGCTAACTACAGTGACTGTTTCTACCATTTTTTTTTCCCCCGTTAAAGGTTTGGGGGCTACTGTAGAAACATGGCAGTGCAACATGGCGATCTTCGCAGACAAGGACCTATGTAGATATAAACGGCTCATTCTAAGGTAACAGTGACACAATGATTCTTATTTTCAGGTGATTATATACTAGAGAAAATATACTATTATATTCCACTACTGACAATATGACCCCTTAAATCCTACACACTGGACCTTTTAAGTAAAGGTATTTAATCAGAATAGTACTTTAAGTAAAAGTATTCATGGTGCAGTAAAATGTTCTCTGTCAGCTTTTCATGGTGTCAGAAAAACAGCCCTGTTTTCAGCTGTTAGTCTACTCTTACTGTAAATAGACACTCAGGATTAAAACACTGGTGAGTTGAAACAACATGTTCCAGGAAAGGTGAGGAATTAAAGAGGAAAGGAAACACAGATGTTCAAGCCCAAAGGAACAGAGAATTAAAAAAAAAAAAAAAAAGTAATGTACCCCATCGTCATGTGGTCACCCCTCTTTTATTTCCCTGTTGATCTCATTCGAAATTTCCACCAACAGATGGACTCTTCCTCACCTCTTCATCATCTCCTTGTCTCCTCCTCCTCCTCCACAGTTCTCCCTGACATGCAGCGCATCGTAGGTCAGTGTGTACTCGGTCTCGTCGTTGTAATCGGGTCCAAGCAGTGTTCGAGCCCAGATCCCCATGTCGTACGGAGGAAGAGTCCCACCGAACTCTGACGGCAAACACTCGGGCTGGATGAGCTGGTGGAGCGAGTTCAGGTTGTTACCGTGGAGGAAGATCTGAAGAGGCAAGGAGAGGAGGAGAGGTGAAAAGGAAGCAAGGAGAGGAGAGGAGACAAGAAGAGGAGGAGAGGAAGCGGGGAAAGCAGATGGAACAAGGAGAAGGAAGGAGACAAGGAGAGGAAGCAAGGAGAGGAGAGTAAATAAAAGAATGAGGGGACACGAGAGGAAACAAGGTGAGGAGGGGAAACAAGAGGATGAAAGGAAAGGAGAGGTAAAAAGGACATGAGACAAGGAGATGAAGGGAGGAGAGGAGGGAAACGAGGAAGAAAGGAGAGGTAACAAGGAGAGGAAGGCAGAAGAGGAGGGAAAACAAGAGGAAGAAAGGAGAGAACAGGAGAGGGTACAAGTAAAGGGGAAGAGATTAAAAATGAGGATAGGAGAGTGTTAATGATAAAAAAAATAGTTGAAGAAAGAGAAAATGTGAAATTGAAAATAATAGAAGAAGGAAAAAAGGAGAAACAAGATAAAGAAGAAATTATGGAGGAAAGACAAAGGAAAGATGGAGATGAAATGATAGAAGATCAGAGATAACAAAAAAAATAAAGAAAGGAGGAATGAGGATAGAAATGTGTGTGTGTGTGTGTGTGTGTGTGTGTGTTCTCACCCTTTTCCTGGTCTTGTCTTTAAGGAACGGTTTGATGATTGTGTACATGGCGTGAATATACCATGGCTGATTCACAAAGTGGATCCCTCCAAATCGAGCCGGAAAACTGTCCTGAGGAGACGACAAGAAAGGACACAAGGCGAGTAGACAAGGAAAGAAAGAAAGAAAGAAGAAAAAAAGAAAGAGAGATGGGAAGACAAAGAGAGGACACAAGGAGATAAAGAAAGAAAGAGGTGAGGAGACAAGGAGAGAAAGAAAGAGAGGTTAGAAGACAAGAAGAGCAAACAATGAGTAAAAAAGAAACAAGAAGAGGAGACAAGGACAGATGGAAAGGTAGAGATAAGGAGACAAAGAGAGGACACAAGGGGAGAGAGAAAGAGAGATGAGGAGACAAGGAGCGCAAACAAGGAGAAAAAGAAAACAAGAGGAGGAGACAAGGAGAGAAAGCAAGGAGAAAAGAAAACAAGGAGAGGAGACAAGGGTAGAAAGAAAGAAAGAGGCGAGGAGAGCAAACAAGGAGAAGAAATTAAACAAAGAGAGGAGACAAGAGAAAGAAAGGAAATCAGGAAAGGAGAAGACGAAGAGGAGACATAGAGGGGAGAGGAAACAAGGGTAGAAACAGTATGTAATGAGAACACATTTTAATTATATCAGCGACATCATAAGAGGACAGTGGATAAACAGTGGATCAGATTAATTAATGGTAAACTGTGAATCAGCTTAATTGATGGTCAACTGTGGATCAGGTAAATGGTAATCAGCGACTCAGGTTAATTAATGGTAAACTGAATCAGATTCATTGATGGTCAACTGTAGATCAGGTTAATTAATAGTAAACTGTGAATCAGAACAATTGATGGTAAAGGGTAGATCAGGTTAATCAATAGTAAACTCTGAATCAGATTAATCAATAGTAAACTGTGGATCAGATTAATTAATGGTAAGTGGTGGATCAGATTGGAGGTCAGTCCAGTTTCAGGTGTGTGTTTGTACCTGAAGGCCCTCGATGGCCAGTTTGAGGATGTTGGGTGTGAGCTTAGAGGCCTGTTTGAAGGAGAAGTTGCTCCAGTCAATGATGAGGATGAAACCATTTATCTGGAGCTCCGGGTTCTCTATCAAAACCTCCAGAGAAAGGAGGATCGCTCGCAGGATGTCTGTGAAGGAGTTCCTGAAGGAAGAGGAGGAGGAGGAGGGAGTGATCAGGTATCTATCGACAGCTAATCAATAGTTAAGCAAAGTGTGACGCTGTGAGTCTTAACCACAGAAATGACTCATCAGGTTCTTTGTGTTTTCAGTCAATAGAGATGTGTGTGTGTGTGTGTTTGTGTGTGTGTGTGTGTTACCTGCTCTGGTCCCAGTTGGAAGCGAACAGGATGAGGATTTTTCGGCCATGTTGGTCTGGAGTCTCCAGCACGCCGGGGAAACCGTCCATTAACGCCCGCTTGATACCGGGGTCATCCACCTGACACATGTAACAGTGAGAGGGTTGTGGACTGTAATGATATACACTGACAGAAAAAAGGCCTCATTCCTCAGAACTCCTGTGATGGCAAAACTGTTCCAACATGTTCCACCTAGGATACAGACTTCGTGAATACAACGCAGTGGATGATTATCTCTCATTTTAAAAGTCAAAGCTTCAATCTGCTAACCTGACATCACCATGTCAATTTGCAGGTGTGATTTAGTAATCAACGACCATAGACCAAAATGCACCTGGGCACAGCTGGATAGACAACAAATTAGCAACGAAACGTGACGTAGTGCTAAGTGACAAACGCTAAACTGAGTTCAGCTGAAGAGATGGTCCATGATGTAAAGCATCAATAATGTCTGTGAATAAGTGAATTTAAAAAAAAGTACACCCCCTGAAGACGGATTCCCGACTCAGAAAGTTGGAGCAATATCACCAAACCCTAACTCAAAATTTAAGATAGCTGCTCTGCACATCAACAGCAGTGAAAGCTATGATATTAATTAGCACCTCTGTCTTATTTATGTCTCATTGAAACAGTCTTACACACAGTCCTGTTCTACTTCTATCTGTAGACATTTTGCTACAATGTATGTGCAAAAAGCAGCAGAAGGGCTCATTTATATTCCCTTTACATACAAAAATAGATACATCCATTTCAGACGTTGTAAACGTCACTGCCCTCATACTTCCTTGCATCCTTTATGTTGGCATAGATATAGCCAAGAGATGAAACAAGAGGGCCAAGTCAAAAGATTCACACAGCAACAAATGAGGCAATGATGGAGGAGGTCATAATAATGTACCTTTTAATGGAGGCGGCAGTATACAGAGAATTATTTTCACAATATTACTGATGTGTTCCGTTCCGGCATTTTTTGAATGTCTTTGTCAACTCTTATGGTCGTATCTCACTTACATGCTACACTGCCCCCAGGAGTCCTGGTGGTACTGCTCCATTTCATCCATATCGTTGAATTTTCAGAAAAGGTGCATAAATGCGTACAAAATGAACAGAGAAAAACTTGCTAGAACTGGTAATACTAACAACATCCTGGTTTTCTGACTTGTACTGGATTGCAGTCTACTTAGGTGTGATGTCATTCCCAACTACGACCTCTGACCTCAGAGATAAATGGATCACAGCGTTAAGGTGGACAAACCCCAAATGGCGTTGTCACATATTTTGCATAAGGCATAAAGCATGAGGTTATTGTAGCCCATCTGTAGACAGCATCAGAGCAAGTCGGGATACAAATCTAACAGACGTGCATTGTACAGCAAAACTGGTGATCAATAATGAGCAGGCCTATCGCCTCACAAACACCCCATATTAGATAAACAGTCCTGATTGGACAGCTGGAAATGTGTCTGAACGTGAGTCAGACCAGACCAGTCACCAGAGAAAAATGTTGGCATGCGTAGCATATCAACATTTCTAAAGTGACGTAGTGTATGAGCTAACTTTGTCACCAGGAGGTGGATGGGATGGTGGATGGCATGGCACTTAAACGAGATGCCAGACCAACAAACAACAAAACAGGTTGGTTTTTAGTGACTCATTGCTGTGTCTTCCAGCAATGTTTTAGACACTAAACATGGGTGTTTTGTAGCAAACCTTAGCTGTTTTTCCAGTGGGGATAGTGGCATGTAAAGTGATTTGTTTTTGTAGAGATATCACTGCTTTTGCTGTCAGGATTATGCCCCTCAAAACTGGATATTTAAAGCCAAACCATAACTATGTGGGTTTGTGTTTAAACATAATAATGCATTAACCACAGCATTGCTGAAATGAAAATTTTCAACATATCCAACATTTTTACCGGCGATTGGGTTGACCAGACACATCTGCCAGATCAAATAAGCTTGTGGATTCATCTAGTTCCCAGGCTTCTGATCTGTAGATTCTCCTTCAAACAGAAACCAACCTTGAAGCTCTGGAACATGTCGAGGTTCTGCTGTCTGAACTGGAAGTACTGGGCAAGTAGCCTGAACGTCTCCACCTGGTCAAACTTCCTGGCTCTCAGGAAACGGAGGATGAAGTCATCGTCCGTCCGCAGAAAACCGATGTCAGGCCGTGTCACGATCATGTCCCGCACCTCGAATTAAAAACATGTACACAATTCTGCCATCAGACAAACATATTGTAGCTGACTTATTAGAATGATCAGGACATGGACTTCTTTCAATTAAATGACTTTACCGTTGGTGGAGTAAAAAAAAAAGTAAACATTGTCCTGAGGGTGGCACCACAGAAAAGAATTCATCATAATCTAAATCAAAAGGACGAATCTTCTGTATGGTGACCATTTTGGGACATATTCAGTTTGGCAGGCTCAGCTTTAAGTCAATCAAACGTCCTGTGGCCCCAAACTCTCCAGCTTTACTGCATGTCACTTGGTTTTTGTAATTTAATTACTGGTTAATACCTCCACCAAGGAGGTTATGTTTTCAGTTGTTTTTTTTTTTTGTCAGCTGGAATACAGAAAGACTACTAGTCCAATTTTCATGAATTGGTGGAAAGGTGTAGCATCGCCCAAGGAAGAACCCAGTAAATTTTGGAGAAGATCCAAGTCATGGGGTGGATCCACAAATTATTTTTCACAGTTGTGAAGGTCTGTGCCCTTCTAGTTGTTCATTTGTTTGGGAATTTGCACCGCTATAACTACAATATAAACAAAGACAGGTCCTACTTTATGAGCTAGTTTTGTTACCCTGTGTCAAAATCCAATTTCAAGAACTTTATTATTTTTGTTTATATTGCACTCACATGATACAGTTTAAAATTGTATTTAAAGTGTAATCAGACTATTTTTCAACTTTCCCCCTCCAAGCAGTTCTAACTGGTTCTACTGTTGGCGCCGCTGTCACAAAGATAGCTGGATCATTTTCTGGTTTCCGCAGAGCCTAGCAGTGACCACCAACACATCACACACACTGCATTTTTTTCCATCATCTGTAATTTCCTCTACTGGGGATGGTAACAGCAAAGTACTTACGTTAATACTCTGTGGTAACTGGCTACTGAAAGCTACCACGATAAACAAAAGCGCTATGTCTTCCAGTTTTGGCTTCACAATGGTTGATGCACTACCTTTGAGCCTTCATTTTAACGGGCAATTGCACCCGGTTGCAGATAGAATTGCAAAGTAAAAGCAAAATTTATAGGGAACCGGTCTTGCGTAGTCAGTGCTTGACAAAGGTCTGGAATAAAATCATTCTGCTACAGGGGAAATAAATTCTGACTTGATTTTGTTTCTCTAAACCAATCACAATCGGCCTGGGCGGCACTAAACCCAGAATGCAGAGACGGTGTCCTTGCAAAAAAGTGTTGGGAAGGAACACACACACACACACACACAGGGACAGGGCTAACTGTTAGCATCACACGGCTAAGGTTACCTAACAGTTATTAATGAATTTAATGAGATAATGGACATGTTTCTGTATCTGTGTGAGTGAACCGGGCAGACTCTCCAGGAGGAGAGCAGTTCCACTGACAGCAGCAACAGAATTTTGAAAACGGTAACATGCAGAAAGCAGAAGGAGGGAGAATGTTGGCCTAAATAACCAGCCAATGGCAGGCTCATAGCCACAGTCTACATCAGGTGAGTCAGACTAATAAGCAACCAATCTAAACACAGATGGTGTTATTATTCTAAAGCCTTTACATTGTGCAATTGACATTTAATTCATAATAATAAGTCAAAGCTCAAAGCAAAAACTTGTCTACTACCACTTTAATTTCCACAAGCTAACAAAAATTAAGTATTATTACAGCATAGAGGCACTGCTTACACTGAACCTGATGGAAACTTGGTAACAAGGTACACACAGAGGGCAGGTGATGGGGGTCTGTAGAGGCCAGTTTAATCCAGCCATGCTCAGCTCCGTGCAGTTGCTTTGGAAGGATAAGTCTGGTCACATTATATATTTTTGTTCATGTTTACTCAAACCAACAGTGAATGTGTCAAGTATAGAGTGTGTTACAAAGCCTGATGTATCTTCTTTCTCTGTGCCATTTACCTCCATTGTTGTTAAAAACATATACACTGTTCTGCTGCCACAAATACTCACTATAGCATCACATGTGGATTAATAGTCCCCAACAAAGTCACTATGTCCTCCTGTGTGTTTGCTAAAAACTACAGTGAGCAGCTGTTTATGCCTCAGCACCAGCAGTGGACGGAGACACTGTGTTCTAGACTTGCTCGGCCCAATTTTGTGAAAACAAGAACACCTTCAGTGAATGTCTTCAAATTTGGCACAAATGTCTATGTGGGCTCAAGTATTAACTGATTAGATTTTTGTGGTCAGAGGTCAAGGTCACTGTGACCTTGTCTGTCTCATTCTAATGACTGTACCATCTGAAGAATGCCTTGAGGGAATTTCTTTGAATTGGGTGCAAATCACCACATGGACTTGGCAATGAAACCATTTGATTTTGGTGATATAAGGTCAAAGGTCAAGGTCACTGTGACCTTGCGCCAGTCTAATTTTCATGAACATGAAATTTTAAGAACACCTTGATGGAATTTCCTCAGATTTGACACAAAAGTTCACTTGGAATAAGTAATGAACTGATTGGATTTTGGTGGTCAAAGGTCACGGTCACGGTCACTGTACCCTTATGTCCATCTCATTCTCATGATTGCGATATCTCAAGAACACCTTGAGGGATTTTCCTCAAAATTAGCACAAACGTTCATTTGGACTCAACAATCAAGTTATTAGATTTTGGTTGTCAGAGGTGAGATTTGGCACAAATGTCCACTCAGACTCAAGGATGAACTGATAAGAATTTTGGCGAAGGTCACTTTGACCTCACAAAACATGTTTTTTGCCCTAACTCAGTAATTCATACACTGATTTTGACAAAATTNGCATAACATATAAAGATGCAATATGTTAAAAACTGTAATATGAACCACCTTCTCTATATTTTCTAGCAATCTACAGATCACCACCATTTTTCATGGCCATCATCATCATCACCGTCATAGTCAACTGCTGACATGAAACATACGCAAAGCCGCCCAGTATAGAGACATGCATTCCAGTCATTCTCATCATTTTCATCTTCACTAGGAACCAACAGGCTTGGAGCTGAGAGCCATATGACACTAATCTTATGCTTTAAAATAATTGTTTTGAGCTAAATATCAACAATATCATGCTAACTTTAGCTATTAGCATTAGCTGTGTACCTGCTGGATGTCTTGATGCAGAGTGTCTGGGTTTTCATTCAGCTCTAAGCGAGCCTTCTCCGTCGTCTCTGAGCTCAGACCAGCATGTAGATGCGTCATCGTGGATTCTCACTCTGCTTTGATTCCTGACGTTCAAAAATGTGTTTCTGTACAAACTGTAGATCGTTTTCTTTTCCTACTTTTATTCCAGTGTATCTCCAGTTTGTTGTACAATCTTGTTGATGAGATTTGGTTGTCTTTGCCCTTTATCTGTAACACAATCTTATTTGCTGTCTTTGTTTTTAAATTTATAAAAACTTGGCTGAAACAGTTTCAGCTCCAGATTTAATCAGTAAGAGACAATCGTCGTCATCTATGATGGTGTTCAGCGACTCAATATGACAGCTTGTGAATCAACAATCATTGCTGCCGTCCTCTACATTGTTAAGAAGCTGGAAGTTTTTTGGTTTTTGATGCTGGATTGAAATGTTGAGTTTGTTACAGGGAACGTGGGTCAATGAACAGCACATGAGGAAAAGGTCAGTGTCACATTCACATCCTCTTTGTCCTAATTTTGTTCCCACTCAGCGTCTCTCGGCTCCCTCCTCCTCCTACTCTTTGTCATCTTTCAGATTTTATCAGTTGACTCTCTGCTGCATCATGATGAGGAGGCTAGATGATGATAACAATGATGACGATGAGTCCTGCTGTTCTCCACTGGTTGAAGGTCAAAGGTCAGTTAAGGCAGCTAGGTCTGATGTGGGCCTCCTCAGCCTGCAGGAGAGAGGAAATAGTAACTACTCCATAATTTCCCAGAGCTCAAGGTGACGTCTTTGTATGGTCTATTTTATCCGACCAACAGTCCAAAAATCCAAAGCTATCCAGTTTATCATTACATATGATAAAGACAAGCATCAAATCTTCTCTTTTAAGAAGCCTCAAAGCAGCAAATGTTTTTATGTTTTGCTTAAGATAATGACTAAAATAATTATTCATGGGTCAAATAGTTGAAAAAGTGTTTTCCAGGCCTGAAAACGGTTTGGAATTAACAGAATGTTTTTGAAAAGTTTTGAGTATACAGTGACTTAAGCTTTGTTATATATATGTTTATGAAAATTCCAAAACATGTCTAAATCACTCAAAAATATTTTCATTGTATAACTAATTTAAAGAAACAGTGTGTCAAATTTAGCGGGCATTAGTGGCATCAAGCAGTAAGGATTGCAGATTACAACCAGTTGACACTTCTCCTGTTAGAATTCCTTCAGTTTTCATTGTTCAGGAGGTTTTTAGTAGGAGCTGAATTATCCACAGAGGTCTTTTCCTCTCTGAAACAAACAGACCAGGTGATTAAAACTAGTAAAAACACTGAAAAAAGCAGTTTCACACTAAAAATCAGTGTTTTTTCTACCCTGTTTTGCACATTGCAAACGGACCGCAAGCCCAGCACCTCCTAATGTGTCTGATTATTCATACAAAAAATATAAATTAACAAATAAACTATAATGTATTATTATAGATTAAATTAGCCAGATAACTAAAATTAGCTGCACTCAGCTTGTTTACAGGTATCAGAAAACAACTTATCAAAACATTACAGGTTAGTATAAAGATAATGTGGTCCTGTGCAGAGCTAGATTTTTGAGGATATGGCAATTAGAGTGAGTTGGGTTAATTTACATTTTAAATGGTAAACAGGTAAGTGTAAGTATAAAGTGAAAAGACAGTGGTTCAGATGGTTCAGAAACATTGACTTTCACTTTGATAAAAATATATAAAAGTTGGCTAAATGAAATTAGATCAAATGTTTGTGGCAATTAAGAATTAAAGACTTTTTAAGGACCTGCAGAAATTTGCCACCTTTACCAACTGTGACATCAAAGCAATAAACACATCACTGCATCAATAATTGTAATCCAATAATATAATATATATTATTTTGAAATGAGCCAGTATGGGTACTTTCATTAGGCTATATTTCTATGCTTATGTACTTTTATTTAAGTAAAATGTTGACTGCAGGAATATGGATTTTTTTTTTAACTTTGTAATTACATGTTATGTTTGATGTGATTTAAAGAGTATTGCATTGTTTTTATATCTGGCTTTTAATTTGGAGTAAAGTTAGTCTTACTTTTTTTTTTAGAGTTTCAGTTATTATTGTTTGACATTACTTTATATCCCTTGAGTTTAATTTATTTTATTGTTATTGTATTGACTTTTATTTATTGATGTATACATTTCATTGATTTTTTTTTTTTTTTTGTATTTTGTTTTGTGTGTTGTTGTTGTTGATGCACTTGGTTGCATAGGGAGTTAAAATAGTTTTAGTTTAGTTTTGTTTAGTTTATTTTGAACATGTAAAATAAATAAATAAATAAAATGAATAGTAATCCTATAACAAACTCTCAATATGAAAATGCTTATAAACAACATAAATACGCATTGTTAAATATATGGATGACCAAAAAGGCGTAGGAAGAAGTACTGAAGGTATGCTGTCCTACTTCTTCTCCACCTTCCAAAAAAAAAAAAATTTAAAATTGAATATATACACAACTCACAATTTTGTATATTTATTATTATTATTATTATTATTATTATTATTATTATTATTATTATGTACAGCCCCAAAATCCAACCCATGTCAATTAGGTATAACCTAAAAAAATGAGAAAAATTATTTCATAAATTTACCCCACAAATTGAAAATAAAGTTGAGTTGATGAAGGCCTACTAAGTTTTTTTATATATTCAATTTTTCATATGATACATGTTCATTATATAAAATATATTTTACTCATTTTAGCTATTTTGCATCTGCTTTCTTTTGCTGTTCCATGTATATGAGTGGGATCAATAAAGGTTATCTTTTATCTCTGAAGTCCCCCCTGCCCACCCCCTCACTAAACACCCCCCATCCCCAGCTCATCCCCATCTGCTGTTCACATTAATTGTGTCAGATGTCGTCCAATCTGCCCACTGAGACAGCATCGTGAAAAAAAAAGCAGAGACACTTGAAGGTCCCACAGGGCTCTATTTTACATTTCCAGCCTGCAGATCAAACACAAAGATAAATAAAAGCCTCTAAGCTGCCTGGGTGTTGCTCTCATTGTACACAGTGTCGGGGGAAATTGTTCAAATCTAATGGTAAATTGATCCAAATGTTCACATTCCTGTCAGCATGATGATTAAAGTCACCCCCGTGATATGTAGGCAGTGTGTGCGTGTGTGTATCCTCACCAAATGTCCTCACAATGAGCCAGAAATATAAGAGCATCCTTAAAAAGTGAACACCTAGTGTCTCCTATGCGTAGTTTAATGTTATTTTAAATAGAAATCCATTAGAATAGTGACAGTGGAGCGACCTGCTAGGTGTGCTGGTTGAATCCCGGCCGTCCTGGCTGGCCCGACGGCCCTCCGGTGGTGGTGGTGGTGGTGGTGCTGATGCTGGGGATGGTGGTGGTGGCCATCGGTATCCCGCGGACAAAAAAAAAGAGAGAGACAGATTTCCGTCCAAAACACAAAACAAAGGAGCCGGGGGAAAATTAAAAAAAAAAATGAACCGTCCTGAATGCGTCAGAGGTGGTTAAAGCGTGTCCTTGTGAATCCGTGTGGGCTTTGTAACGCGTGAGGAGGACGGAGCGGGATCATCTCACTGAGATGCGTTTTCACTTTGTGCTCAGAGAAGACGTCAGGATGCTCCGAAACAGTCAAGGTTTCAAAATAAAGAGCAAGACTTCCGGTCAAGACTTTAAAAACAAAATTTGATTTTGTCAGCAGTTAGGTCAGAATCTGATTAGGCTAATTGTCTTGTTTCTAATATA